GGGTATGCTCGTGATGATAATGCTCATGCAATGCACGTCCGCAGTATTTTTTGCTTGTGTTCCCGTCTCAAGTTCTGTCTCTACCGTTCTCTATGTCGTTGTCTTCTGTTGGGGTGTCCCTCTGAGTATGAGTTTGTGTCTGTTTGCTGTTTTGTTTCGGTTGTTGTTTGAAGTGTTGTGTTTCGTCTTCTTGGGTCTGTGAGTTTTGTGTGGTTTCTCGTCCCCTTGGGTTGTGTTGTCTGGTGTAGTGGTTTTTGTTTGTCTACTTGTTGGTGTCGTGAGTCTGTCAGTTCTGTGTGCGAGCTGCGGCCCTTTTACGCTGACAGTTTTGACGTCTGTGTACCTGTAGCACCTGTTGGTGGGTGCTTGGATGGGTCCACCATCAGTGGTTATAGGATGCAGACCTTATGGTTGAGTATTTTAGTTCTGTGATTTGGATGTAACCTGGGACCAAAGGCCTCATGGCCTGCAGCGGTCCTCTTCCAGGCTTGCGATGACCCCCCCGGACTACCACCTCAACGCGGTGGGGGGGTGGCAACTCCTGCATTTAGTTTCGTGACTCGGTGTTTGGTGTTCTTCTGTTGGTGCTTGTGCTTCGGGCTAGTGTTTTTTTGCCATGTAGGCAGGAGGCTAACGGTAGTAGGGCTAGGATGCTGAACATGGAACCAGGGTCCCCTTAGGGAGACAATCCATGCTAGGCTTCTGGCCAACAGTGTGCTCGGGTTGGCTTCCCGTTTGCACTTATCTTCTAGCTACCGCACGGGTTACGAGTGCTCGAGCGCTGCCACCGGAGCTCTCCCATCCAACTGTGACGCCCGGACAGGGGCGGAGACAGCAGGGGCGAAGGTGGCGTAGGGGGCCTAAGCTCAATTGGGGATGTTGGAATGTGCAGACGTTACATTCTTATCTACATGTTACAAGCACCGGGGAGGTTACTATCAGGGGGAAGGACCCAACTAAGATCGATAGCTTATGTCTGGAATTGAAGACACACCAGATTAGTCTATGTGCTATTTCAGAACACAGGTGGAGAGGCGAAGGACAAATCATGGTGGATGATGAATGGTTGTTTCTCTT